AGAGCAGATGCCAGTCTTTTAATGTTTCTCCAATGAAGATCCTGTATCAGCAGCATCATTTGAGTATCCTTTGTCTGTTTGATACTCTGAATATTACTTTTTAAAATCTTCAGCAGTTCATCAAGATTTTATCCTCCAAAAGGTACAAACTTCCATTTATAAAATAAGTAAGTATGGGATGTAATGTACAACATGACTATAGCTAACACTGCTGTATGATATGTAGGAAAATTTTAAGAGAGTAAATCCTATGAGTTCACATCACAAGGAGGAATTTTTTTTCCTTTTTTCTTTTCTTTTTATTTTTATTATATCTATATGAGAAGATCAATACTAACTGAATCTATTATGATAATCATTTCACAATATATGTACATTACACCATCATGCTGTACACCTTAAACTTATATAGTGATGTATATCAATTATTTCTCAATGAAACTGTAAATAAAGATTATTATCCGCCCTAACTGGTTTGGCTCAGTGGATAGAGCGTCGGCCTGCGGACTCAAGGGTCCCAGGTTCGATTCCGGTCAGGGGCATGTGCCTTGGTTGTGGGCACGTCCCCGGTGGGGAGTGTGCAGGAGGCAGCTGGTTGATGTTTCTCTCTAATCGATGTTTCTAACTCTCTATCCCTCTCCCTTCCTCTCTGTGGGGAATCAATAAAATATATTTTTTTTAAAAAAAGATTATTATCCTTTTACAAATGATGGGATGAGAAGCAAGGATTTAAGTGGGTTTTGCTCAAAAACTTAAGACTATATTTTTTAGTATTTGAACATAAAATTTTCTATTAATGGCTAAACTTACATTTCCTCTACTATGCTACTCTGCCCTACCAAACATACAGCACTAGTTGATAAAACCACTAATATGTAATTAAAGTAGGAATGCACACAAGTATTAAATTATATATTTGTATAAATTTTTAAGCATTCTACTTACAAAAAAACTGTTGAAAAACTGTTCTACGTCAAGAGACCTAGAAATTATTCTAGTAAAACCATCTAGAGACACTGTCTTGTCAAATAACTATCCCAGGCAATTGGAACCAGTACTTGAGATTTCCTCAATTCTACACTGCTAACCATCATAAAAATAAGAAAGTATTTGAAAATTATTTAGCAGAAACCAATAAGCATAATATATGACTTATCTATCTATCTATCTATCTATCTATCTATCTATATATATATATAAAAAAGGCTAATATGCAAAGTGTCCCCATGGCAATTCGACCAAGAGACCGGGAGTTCGATCGCTTGCTATGACATGTGCTGACCACCAGGGGGCAGCGCGGAACAAAGGAAGGCCCTGATCAGTCCTGATCGCCAGCCAGCCCTAGGGACCTACCCATGCATGAATTTTGTACACTGGGCTTCTAGTATCTATAATAATAAAAGTATAATATGCTAATTAGACCAGACATCCTTCTGGATGACCTTCCAGACAAAGCCGCAGGGGCCAAGGCAGAGGTGGCCACTGCGGCAGTGGGGGCAAAGGCAGCTGTCGCGGCAGCGGGGGCCAAGCCCCTTGCACAAATATCATGCATCAGGCCTCTAGTTATTATATAAAAGCCTAATATGCCAATTGTCCGACCGATCAGTCAACTGTTCGGTTGACCTCTCGACCAGTCACTATGACATGTACTGACCACCCAATTGTTAGGTTAGGTTGCTGCTGGGGTCTGGCCGATTGGGCGAGACCGGCCAGACATGCTCTGGAGCACTCCAGTGGTCCCTCTCCAGCCAGCCAGCCCCAATTGGCTCTGATGGGTGCTGGGCGAGACGGCCCCAATTCGGACTGGGCAAGACGGGCTGGACACACCCTTAAGCCCTCCAGCGGTCCCTCCCCAGCCTCTAAAATATTTCTTCTAATTAATTGCCTTTCATAGTGCATGAATCTGTGCACCAGGACTCTAGTATTATTATACTAGAGGCCCGATGCAAGAAATTCAGGCAAGGGGCTTGGTCCCTGCTGCCACAGCAGCTGCCTGGGCCCCCGCCACTGCAGGGGCCAGGGCCTCTGCCACCTCTCCCTCGGCCTCCTCGTCTAAGTAGCATATTACACTTTTATTATTATAGATAAAACATGCCAATGCATTCTAAGATACAGGCAGCAAGGAAACAAAACAATCTAAACTCATCCAAAGCCAAATAATAGTTATAACTATTTTAACAAATGAATTTAACAAATAATTTTGTTTGCCCTCCTAGGATTAAGAGGATATCTTGATGTTGTTTCAGATAGTCTTTTTCTTTATATTAAAAATATAATATCCTTTGTCTGTTGAGTATCCCTTTGTCTGTTTGAATGCCTTCCAATTTCTTTTTTTAAAATATGTTACTGATTTTTAGAAAGAGAGGAAGGGAGAGAGAGAAACATCAACGTGAGAAACATCGGTTAGCTGCCTCCCACATGCCCCCTACTCGGGGTCAAACCCAAAACACAGGCATGTGTCCTGACTTGGAATCAAACTGGCAACCTCTCAGTGCATGGACATGGAATGATGCTTTACCAACTGAGCCACATGGGCCAGGGCTGTCTTCTACTTTCTTTTTTTTTTTAATTTATCTTTATTGTTGAGAGTATTACAGAAGTTCCCTTTTTTCCCCATTAACCCCCTCCAACCCCCCTTCCTATCCTACCCCCAGGCCTTCACCAACCTATTGTCTGTGTCCATGGGTTATGCATATATGCACATAAATTATTTGGTTAATCTCACCACACCCCACCTCTCCAGCCCCCATCCCCACCCCCACTCCCACCCACTCCTGCTTTCCCTCTGAGAGTCATCATTCTGTTCCATGCTTCTGTGTCTCTGGATCTATTTTGTTCATTAGTTTATTTTGTTCATTAGATTCCACATATGAGTGCGATCATGTGATACTTGTCTTTCTCTGACAGGCTTATTTTGCTTAGTGTCTTCTACTTTCTTCAGGTGAAAGTTTAGATTATTCTTTTAAAACTGTTTCTGCCCAGCTGGCATGGCTCAGTGGTTGAGTGCTGACCTATGAACCAGGAGGTCATGGTTGGATTCCCAGTCAGGCCTGGGTTGCAGGCTCGATCCCAGTGTGGGGCTTCCCAGGAGGCAGCCAATCAATGATTCTCTCTCATCATTGATGTTTCCATCTTTCTCTTCCTGTCCCTTCCTCTCTGAAATCAATAAAAATATATTTTTTTTAAAAACTTAGTTTCTAATATAAGCCTTTAACACTGTAAATTTCCCCCTTGAAGTACTGTTTTAGGTATATCCCATGAATTTTGGTATGTTGTTTTTCATTTTCATTCAATTCAAAATATTTTCTAATTTCCCTTGAGACTTCCGCTTTGACCCATGGGTTTTCAGAATGTTATATTTAATTTCAAAATATCTGGAGATTTCCCAGTTATCTAATACTGATTTCTTATTTAATTCCATTGTAGTTAAAAAATACAGACATATTCCTAAAAAAATTATCTGCAAAGTAAAATTATGGGAATTAAATTCACTTTTCCAACAGTAAATTAATGTAATGATATTCCCAAGGCTAAGGTGAGATAGGATTAGAGATCAAGTGTTCCAGCATCCTTTCCTCTAAAGGATACATTGGCAGACTGGATAAAAAAAAAAATGTTCTCTCTCAATACTCATCTCAAAACCAAAAAAACCTTTTTGTTATTCTCCTTCTACCCTTTAAAATAAAGGGGAAAAAGAACAATTCCACATACATCATCTCATTTGGTTTTTACAACTCTATAAAACATGCAAGACAAATAATGGCATTTTATACATGAGGAAAGTGGACCTCAGAGAAAGAACTTGTTTTATTTGTCTGCTATGTCTCATTACTCTTAAATTACCCTTCAAAGATAGAGCAATATAGACCATTTAAATCTTTAAGTAAATTCAAAACCTTATTATCCACTGTTGGAATCACCATCATTTTAGTTCAGAGTAAGCGACAGAAAAAACTGACTAGGCTTAAGTTTTATCATCTTGACTTCTCATACCCATTCATTATTAACAAAGTTCAGATAATAAAGAACTGGTTAAACCTCAGGACATAAAAAGTAAACAGGCAAAATATATAGCCATATTTGTTGTTCACATAAAAATTAATATGATGACTATATAAAACTAGAGGCCCAGTGCATGAAATTCATGCACGAGGGGGGAGGGTCCCCTCAGCCCAGCCTGCACCCTCTCCAATCCAGGACCCCTTAGGAGATGTCCGACTGCCGGTTTAGGCCCGATCCCGGGGATCCGGCCTAAACTGCCAGTCGGACATCCCTCTCACAATCTTGGACCGCTGATTCCTAGTCGCTCACCTGCCTGCCTGCCTGGTCGCCCCTAACTGCCACCCCCCCACCCCCGCCAGCCTGATCGCCCCTCACTGCCTCTGCATGCCGGCCTGATCTCCCCTAACTGCCCCTCCTGCTGGCCTGGTCACCCCTAACCGTGCCCTGCTGCTGGCCAGGTTGGCCCCAACTGCCCCCTCCTTGCCTGCCTGATGGCTCCTAACTGCACCTCTTGCTGGCCTGGTCACCCATTACTGCTCCCCCTACCAGCCTGGTCACCCCAACTGCCCCCCTCTGCCAGCCTGGTCGCCCCTCACGGCCCCCCCACCAGCCTGGTCACTCCACACAGCCTGCTGTTCAGTCATTTGGTCGTCCCTCACTAACACCCCTGCTGGCCTGGTCGCCCCACGCAGCCTGCTTATTCAGTCGTTTGGTTGTCCCTCACTAACCCCCTGCCAGCCTGGTCGTAGGCAGCCATCTTGTGAGGATGTGAGGGTTAATTTGCATATTACCTCTATTATATAGGATTTTCTTTCAAATTCTTACTGTTGATTAGGATATAAAGATCTATTATTCTTAAAATTTATATATTAAAATACATTAATATCAGTATTTTGATGTATTAAAATATTTATCCTGTTTTGTTTCAAATTAAAATTCTAAACTATAACATTACATAAATTAAATGGCTTTTAAGGGTAAAAGTCATACACTCTTACCGTGTAAGTGTTGACTTAGGGGTTGCAGAAATTTTCCTCAGGCAGCATCACCACTTTGGCCCAGGTTTCAGTAGTAACAGCAATCAAAATTAAAACTAAAAAGAAAACAAAATTAAATACTGGCAAGCAAAATCTTCAAAAAAGTCTTAAATTCAAATTTCACATTTCAACAATTTCATCAAGGGAGCTCTAATCCCGGAAGTAGTTTTTAAATTAAAACAAGCAGCTAATAAGGTATGTGAATTCCTGTATAATTCCAACTCCCTGCCCTAGAGTAAGCCCTAAAATTAACTTCAAAGAATTAGAGTAAATAATAGCCAAAGGGCAGAAAAATAAAAAGCCAAGCATATTGTCAGTTTATTCAACTGACATGCTCATTTCACTTACCCAACAACAACCCATATATTTTAGGTTTTGTTATTGCTCAAAAAGAATATAATACTGATCCTTCACACAAGAATTCTATCAGATATGAACATTTGCATTAATTTCACACACAAAAAATTTAAATTCAATAAAAATCTTGACAATCACTATATACATATTTTAATAGTATATAATATGGAGATAAAATAGTAACAAAGATTGAATACCTGCTGAATTGACCCTATAAAGTGTTTCCAGGATAACTGACATTAACAGGGAACTTATAGAGCAATCTGATATTGTTTACCATGTGCTGGGGCTGTGAGGTACCAAAAAAATACAATATGATTTCTTCCCTAAGGAGAGCTATGGTTAAAAGAGTACATACAAGAAAAATTTAATGACTAAGCATTTATTCATTCAGCAAAACTTTACCAAGCACCTTGTGTAAGTCAGCTCCCCTTTAAACACTGCAAACAAAAAAACAAATAAGGAAATGCATGTTCATGAAACAACTCAGTATCATGAATGTAACTAATTATAATATAACTAGAGGCCCGATGCACGAAAATTCGTGCAAGAGTAGGCCTTCCTTCCCCCGGCTGCTGGCACCGGCTTCCAGCCGGCACCAGGACCCGGGCTTCTCTCCTCCGCCCGCCGGCAGGCACCCAGGACCCTGGCTGCTTCCCTCCTCCAGCTGCCAGCCAGCAGGCACCCAGGACCCGGGCTGGGTTCCCTCGGGCCAACCGAAGGCACCAGGGACTGGGCTGGCTTCCCTCCAGCCCCAGCAGAGGAAGGGAAAGGTGTGCAATTTCCACAGGAAAGAAAAGCAGCTTTCAGTCTACTAAAGAGAACTATCTGGACATGCATGAATTGTATGTAGGCCTTTACATAATGAGAACCTACACAGTCAAGACTGTCAACATCTTTTTGAAACTATGGAAAAAATAGAAAGATCATTCAATGACACTAATTTATACACGTCCTACTAGTTTGTTTATTTAAAATTAAAAGCAGTACCTAATTTTCTTCCCTTTCCTTAGGAACAGCTGTAGGGCACGCTCTTGATTATACAAAGTAGAAGAAAAAAAGTGGGTTTTTCCTAAGTAATTTGCATAAGTGATCACTTTATTTCCAAATACAGAGAACTGTCCCTGGATTTTAGATTATCCAGGCCAAATTTTACTTCTCCTGGATCATCTTATTTGCATGATTATGAAAGTAACCAACACTATTCACTTCACTTTAGAGGTGATTATATCTAGATGACTGTGTTTTCTGGATAACCATTTATGTTAAGCAACATGTATTAACTCTTCCTTTGGGTAACACAACTATGAGTTTCCCAATTTTGTAAAAGGCTATGTAACTATTATTTTGTTATTATCACTTGGTGAATGCTTTACTCAGGACTAAGCACAGTGCCAATGTGACATATATTTTATATTTAACTTAATCTTCATAGGGCACGTAATATCTCCATGTAAAAGCAAGGAAATTGAAGACCGGAAGGTGACTTACCCAGGATAACACACAGCTTGGAAGGGGTTGGCTTAAGACAGGTCTGTAGCCAGTCACTCATTTTAGTTACTGTGTTAGATGGGCTCCTTTTGGGCATGCACACATGAATTTTTCTTTCCTACTCTACTGCTAACATGTCTAACATAATTCATAAGCCTATATTTATGTAGTTTATAGTTATAAGCTATAACCATAAAGGTCTTAAAAGAATTAACCAGATTTTCTGAGTATGTTGCCTAATTTTATGGGGCAAACTTTCCTTTAGCTCCTCTGAAATTACAGATTAAGTTTAGTAAGTGTGAAACCCAGCACCTCTGCAAAGAGGTGTCATGTAGCAAGCACAGGGGAACACATTTATTTGCAATGCCAGAATTCAAATTCTGTTTATGTCCCCATAGTTAAGCTCTGAGTGGTGCTGAAAATGCTCCTCTGCGGCTATAGTCTAGGAGCAGAGTTCTCATGTAATTTCCTACCAATGGGCTTGCATCCATGATGCTCCCCCATAAGAATGTCCTCTTTTATTCTAGTTTCCACACATCCAAATTGTCTCTTGACTTCAGAATACAACCTAGTTCAGCCTCCTTCGTCCACCCATTTTCACTGCTCTCTCTGCTTGACAAACACTTATTTTATTGTGGAAATGTGTCAGGCATTATTGTGTGTGGCCCTACCCTGCAAAATCAAAGTCCAGTCCTGCACCCCAAAGAACCTCTTGGTCCTCCAGAAGAAAAGTCATACAAACAAGGGATTAGTATTCAATGTGGTAAAGGTATATACATGGTATCAAGAGCGAGAGGAAGGCGCAGCTGCCACTGGAGACAGGTGTGGCAAGGAAGGATTCGGAGTCCTGGTAACACTGGAGCCTTAATTCAGATGACAGAAGATGAAGACCTAAAATAAGACAGGCCCTAGCCCGTTTGGTTCAGTGGATAGAGCGTCAGCCTGCAGACTGAAGGGCCCCAGGTTCGATTCCGGTCAAGGGCACATGCCAGGGTTGCAGGCTCGATGCCCAGTAGGGGGCGTGCAGGAGGCAGCCAATCAATGATTCTCATCATTGATGTTTCCATTTCTCTCTCCCTCTCCCTTCCTCTCTGAAATCAATAAAAATATATTTTTAAAAAATAATAAGACGGGATAATTTCTTTTTTATATATATATTTTATTGATTTTTTTACAGAGAGGAAGGGAGAGAGAGAGAGAGAGTTAGAAACATCGATGAGAGAGAAACATCGATCAGCTGCCTCCTGCACATCTCCCACTGGGGATGTGCCCGCAACCCAGGCACATGCCCTTGACTGGAATCAAACCCGGGACCCTTCAGTCCGCAGGCCGACGCTCTATCCACTGAGCCAAACCGGTTTCGGCCGGGATAATTTCTTAAAGGGAAGAACTTGACATATCTGTTGGATGATGTAGTGGATGGGATGCTGAGATGTGTCAGGGTGGAGTTAAGGAACACTAAGGCAGCACAGTCTGGCTGACCTCCCCTTTACAGATGGACAGTGTCCAACATGACAGCCTCCAGCCACACAGGGCACTTGAAATGCGGTTGGGGTGACTAAGGAACTGAATTTTTTATTTCATTTTAATTAATGTTAATTTAAATAGCAATCTGTGGCTAGCAGCTATTGTATTGGACAGTGCAGCTCTTAAGGTGTCAGGCTTGAGATAATGAGTTGAAGGGGTTATTACCAATATCTGAGAATAGAATACCAAGATGAAGAGCATAGAGACACTCAAATATTTGTTGGGAAAAAAATGAACAGGTAATGAAGAAAGGAACAAACTGGTTGATCTTTAAGGACTCCTCCCTTTAAAATCCCATCATACAGGTACCTATCCTTGCTCATTTAAGTTTCAAATAAGGTCTTCAATACGGTGGCACCAAAATGTACTCATGTTGTCTCCAGATCTCACTCTAATTCTTAAAACATTACTACTAAATTAAAATTCCTCATGTTAGTATATAAGAAAAGAAAAACTCTATCTGGAAACCATGGCAAGTTATAACTTAAGGAATAATCACAAACCAACAATAATCAAGCCAGGATAAATAACTGTCTAGTAAAATATGTCTACTTCAATGGACATAAGACACTGGGGGGTAGGGGAAGCCGGGGTATTGTCAAGGGCGGGGGGAAAAAAAAGGACACATATGTAATACCCTTTGTAATGCTTTAAGCAATAAAAAATAAATAAATAAAAGTTAATTTCCCCCACAAAAAAAAAAAATATGTCTACTTCAGGGAGGGAGGGAGGGGAGGACTAGAGAGCTTTATGATGAGTTCAGGTAATTTCAAATGAACTACAGACCATTCACCTCCTAAGCAGTTCAGTTTATATTCTGTTTACATGCCTGTGTCCTCTGTTGAGAGAAATGACTGAATATACCTCATGATATATCTTCTTTTACTCGATAGAGCATTTTAAAAGGTCAATGATAATAAAGTTTTCCCGAGTAATATGCCCTTTAATCTTAGTTATCCACAACAAAGTCAATATGAAATAAAAAAATTCTGTGCTATGAAAACATTTAATCTGAGAACAGGTTGTGCCTAAATGACTCATTGTTAATCTGGCAATATCCTCCTAATCTGATTATGTTAAGATCTGTTTACTATTTTGGTCCTTGCCTGTCTCTCTTAAGCTTCTGAATTCCAGTTTTTATAAATAAGAGGCTAGCATATTACAACATTCACACATGTTTCAGATATCTGTTTATCCCCTGATTTTCCAGTGCTACCTCCTTAACCAGACTCAAATTCTAAGTTCCTCTCTAACCATGAGATCATGCATTCATGTTCTTACTTATTCACATATGAAGCTCTGTTTACAAGATTATTAGACACTTTAGAACCTGAAGCTCTATTAGCTTCAGAGAAACATATCCCATCAGAACATATAATATGAACGTTTTTAGCAAGAAGTATATATCTAACCCCATGATAAAACAGCAATCTTTGTGCTTCCCTCCTTGGCCTCTCAGGCTGGTGGTTATCTGAGCTTCAATTCCTATTGCTAGAACAGTCCCACATCTTTTATATCAGAGCCTGAAGAACACTCTTACTGGCCCCACTATTCAACTTAACCTATAAGTGAGCTCTTATGTAGAAGGTGAGGCAAAAACAATGTTAAGTAATAAGACAAGGTCTTGATCCAGAAAGCTTTAGCTGGTGGGACAGAGTAAACAAACACAAGAGATCTAAAAC